AAACCATGATAAGCTCCCCTTAGAGTTGCTGCAAGTCAAAAGTGACCTGAAGACACATAAACAACAAACAAGTATAGGACAATGAATTGGGATCGGCTTTCCTGGAAAGTACGGACAATGCTTATTTGTGGCTCTTTAAAGAGAACACTTTGTTATGATGACGAGAAATGTATGACCTTCCAGATGTTGGTTGTCAGCCGCTCCCATGATTCTTTGAACTAGACACATCTGAGCGAAGCTCTGGGATAAAAACACCCAGAAGGCAATTGCATTTACATGAGACCTGGTCTGAGTTAGAGCCATTCTGGCTTCAGACTCACTGAAAATTTAACAACTCGAAGTTTGCTTTGAAAGTGGAAACAACTGCTGAGTAATAATATCCAGAGATATGAGAGAGACGCAATCGGAGAGGTTGAGAAAGACTTTCTCAGCACATACAGACAACCGAAGCCTGTTTCCTTGTCCTACATACCACTGGAGCATCGCAGTGCACCCAAATACCTGGGAGTTACCCTGGACCGTGCTCTTACCTACAAGAAGCACTGTAGGTAAGCAAAAAGTGGGCGCTAGAAATAATATCATACGAAAACTGACTGGCACAACCTGGGAATCACAACCAGACACAGTGAAGACATCTGCCCTTGCACTGTGCTACTCTGCTGCTGAGTATGCATGCCCAGTGTGGAACACATCTCACCACGCTAAAACACTAGATGTAATAATAATAATAATAATAATAATAATAATAATAATAATGTGAGAAGGTTCTCCACTGTGCATGTGGCAGGGCACAGACTGCATTGTAGGAAATGGTCTGTGGTTTGCAGACTCTCCTTTGTGGGCCCATTTTTTAAGGTTGGCTCTGCATCTCGTGGTGCCAGAGCGCAGTCTGTTCAGCGCCTTCCAAGTCGCCCAGTCTTCTGAGTGCCCAGGAGGGAGTTTATCATCCAGTCTCAGCCACTGATTGAGGTTTTGGGTTTTTGCCTGCCACTTTTGGACTCTCGATTGCTGAGGTGTTCCTGCAAATATCTCTATACATCTTAGAAAGCTATTTCTTGATTTAAGGCATTGGTTTGCTGGCTGGTATCTGAACAGAGGATGGGCCGGAGATGTCACTGCCTTGGTCCTTTCATTATTGGCTGCTACTTCCTGACAGATGTAATTTCTCCAGCGATGTAGGGCGCAGACACCCTGTGATAATGAGGTACGTCTCATTAAAAGCCACATCTACTGTTTTAGCGTGGTGAGATGCATTCCACACTGGGCATGCATACTCAGCAGCAGAGTAGCAAAGTGCAAGGGCAGATGTCTTCACTGTATCTGGTTGTGATCCCCAGGTTGTGCCGGTGAACTTTCTTATATTATTTCTAGCACCCATTTTTTGTGTGGTAGTAAAGCAGTGCTTCTTGTAAGTCAAAGCTTGGTCCAAGGTAACTTGCAGCATGCGTTTTATGATAGAACCAATTAGGAAATGACATTGATAACCCAGGAACCAAAATCGTATTAAAAAGAGGTAAAGGTTGCCCCCTGACATTAAGTCCAGTCATGTCTGACTTTGGGGTGTGGTGCTCATCTCCATTTCTAAGCTGAAGAGCCAGCGTTGTCCATAGACACCTCCAAGGTCATGTGGCCGGCATGACTGCATGGAGCGCCGTTACCTTCCCGCCGGAGCGGTACCTATTGATCTACTCACATTTGCATGTTTTCGAACTGCTAGGTTGGCAGAAGCTAGTGCTGACAGCGGAAGCTCACGCCGCTCCCCGGAATCGAACCTGCGACCTTTTGATCAACAAGCTCAGCAGCTCAGTGCTTTAACCCACTGCGCCACCGGGGGGGGGGGGGGGGCAATTTTTTTTATTGTGAAACACAACAAGATGTCCACAGCAGACACTCTGTATTGGATCACACGTCGGACACTTCCCAAGTATCTAGGACTGTGTGATGTATCAGCGAATAATCCGTGCAAATCCCAGTAGGGTAGCCTTCTGCAGCGGGCAGATGGTAATCTTGTCAGCGCCGATTGTGTTTAAGTGCAGGCCAAGGTCTTTAGGCACTGCACCAGTGTGCCAATCACCACTGGGACCACCTTTACTGGTTTGTGCTACAGTCGATCTTTAAATCCTCTTATCGTGTCATCTTTTCCAGTTGTTTCTCTGAAATCCTGCTCTCACCTGGGATTGTGACATCGACAATCCATACTTTGTTTTTTAACATGATTGTGAGGAGTATTATGCTCCAAAACTCTGTCTGTCTGAATCCAGATGTCCCAGAGGAGTTTGGCGTGTTCATTCTCTGTAACTTTTCCGGCTTGTGATCCCACCAGTTCTTTGTCGCAGGCAGATGGTGTTTGTGGCACAAATTCCAATTAATCATCTGAGCAACGGTGTTGTGCCTCTGCTTGTAGTCTGTCTGCGTTATCTTTTTGCAGCAGCTTATTATTATTATTATTATTATTGACACAAAAGCACAGTATGTCATAGCAAACGAGATCTATATGCTGGATTTCGTATCACAAAATCACAAGTTGAACACTTCCCAAGCATCTAGGACTGATTATTATTATTATTATTATTATTATTATTATTATTATTATTTCCCTCCCTCCCAAAGGGTTGGTGGTTCTTCCCCCCTTTCTCCACATTGCTAATTGATAAATCCACAGAGGGATTAACTTGAACCCGAAGATGTCAGTCCACTTATCTGTTACTGCACAACTCTGGACTTTGTCTCACTACTAAGCATGCCTGCAAAGTCATCACACATTCCTATCAGCATTCAAGCTTTTCCAGGCTGTATTACTTCTTACCTCGTTTAATTGCTAGTGGGATCTTGAATTCACAGCGGTGATAACTATGAAAAGTGAAAAGGCAGATTGTTATTTTGGAAAAGCATGACATTTTAGAGATTATAACCTTTTGGAAAACCAGGACTCTCAATAGCCTTTTGGAAGCACAACCCATTTGGAGATTAACTGGCATTTTACTGATCTTTTACATTTGAAATTTTCCTATTTTTACAAGCATTTCTTTCTACTTGCTATTTTACTCAGCTTCAATTAAAAAGATTGGTTTTTCACTCATTGTGTGGTGTGTTTTAAAGCCAGAGCGTATCATTTCTGTTCTGGAGTGCAACAAACACTGAAAAACAGGGGAATTCCAGACAAGAAACAATCAGGGACAGCTAATCGCCTCCCAACAAATGATTCCCCCAGGCAAGAAGCAGCCAAACCTGCAAGGCTATTTAATGCTAATCAAGTTGACTAATTGCAACATTCACACTTGCCTCAAAGAGACAAGATGTTATGGCTCAGTTTGACTCTGAGTCTAAAGCTGACCCCTGTGGGCTTTGTGAGCCAGAGTTCCTACAAGATGACGAGGAGGATGATGGGTTACAGATTTCTGTACATGCTTCAGACAGGGTTGACAGTGAGGCTGCTGAAGGGGAAACAGCAAGTCAGTTCTCAGGGGAAAGGAATGTTAGTGAGACTGATAACACTGTTCAACGGAGAAAAAGTTGCGGTCCTGAAAATAGTTGTTCTTTTATGATTTTGGGGTGCTGAAAACGAAAATGACATTTAAAAATGTATATTGGCTCTAGTTTTTATGATATAAGCAATCACGTGATCACGTATGGTTGAAAAAAACGCATGTTGCGACTTACACTATGGAAGATTCTAGAATATTCTAGAAAGTTTGATGACGCAGTATTAGTGCCGTGTGCAAAAGCCAGAAAGCCCTCTATAAGGCCAGACTTTTGAACGGTGAGGGTCAGTCAGTTGAAGACTGAGACAGTATCATTAAATATCGTTTTACATTTGTTCTTTTTACTGTAGTTATGCCTCACACGTGTGTAAATAAAGCACTATGGAAAAAAGATATCAAAGCCAATGGACTCCGTCAATGCTGTCAGACTCCTGCTGGAGCATTGTAAGAGATAATCCTTTCCTTGAATACAAAAGAAAAGTCAAGAGAAGCCAACAGGATATAAACTAAAGTCACGATTAAAGCGACATTTAAAACTCCAGACTTTTCAACTGCATTAGGCCTACTAATATAGTTTCTTGCTGCACAAACATAAACAATAGACTAATTAAATAAATATTTCTCATGTATAAACTATTGGCAATATAATTTGACTAAAATTTAGTAAATATTCACGGTTTATATACATGCAGTAAGGTTAGGTGCATTATCATAATATTAACGAATTACCTATTGTGGAGAAAATTGAAATAGCTGTTGCATAAAAACCAGAGCCAATTAACACATTTAATTATTATATTTGAATTCAGCATGTTAAATTTATTAAGAAACGGCACATTTCGTTTCCGAAACTGAGAAAAACTGGAAATTTGTAGAACAGTGTAATGAGAGTGAATTCCCACACGGCCAGGTGGAGATTTCTTTGCCTCCTTTGCCTTCCCACAGTGATAGGGTCCAGCTGCAGGACCAAGATAAGGGGTTAGAGAGCCTTGAAGATAATGAATCAATGAGCAGGCAAGATCGTCTGCAATTAAGAGTCCGGAGAAGCTCTTGCTTGGCTAGTAAGCGAGAAGCCAAGTATGCCAAAGGTCATCGCAATGCGTTCATGTCTTCAAAGAGTATTTAGCCTTCTCGCTGACACACAGTGGTTGCCAGTTTAACGTAGCTCTTTCCATGCAAATTTTTATGGATTAACCTTGGCTTTAAGCAGCACGCTTCTGGCTTCCTGAGTCTAGGATTTTGGGTCTTGTGTTCATCTGTTTTTCCATGGACTATTGTTTGACCATTGCTTAAAGGATTATGCTTCATGTTTTTGCCTTTGGATCTTGGGAACTGTGTCTTTGCATTTAAGCCTTATGGAACTTTTGTATTCTTCATGCTATGTTTTGATTTTGCCTTTTTCTCAATAAACTACAAAATCTACAGCTTTGGTGTGGTGGTGTTTGGGAGCAAAGTGAAAACTACCCTGAGTTGCAACACAAGAGTCCTTTCTCCTACCCTGGGCATTCCACAGATATATAAACATCACTTGCCTAGTTTCCAACACACCTCACAACCTCTGAAGATGCCTGCCATAGATGTGGACGAAACGTCAGGAGAGAATGCTTCTGGAATATGGCCAGACAGCCTGGAAAACTCACAGCAATCCAGTGATTCCAGCCATGAAAGCCTTTGACAACACATTGCTCCATACATTGGCCATCTCATCTGATGGAAACTCAACATCCCAAACATATTCTTAGAGCTCATAATCAATGCGTGTGTTTGCAAACCGAGGCCATACTCACATGTTGAAGTTATAATGACCCGGGTAATTCGTATGCAGAACAAATTTCTTCACTTTGTGGGTGTTTGCATCAAAAAGGATATCCTGTGAAGGGTGAAAATGGGGAAAGAGATGGAAGTTGAGTCGAGGATGATTAATTCAAAACAATGAAACAACATCATGGGAGTTAGGGAGTTACTGGCTGTTAGGAATTGTGGGAGTTGAAGTCCACAACACCTGGAGGGTCCAAGTTGGCCCATGCCCGGTCTACACTGACCATATAATGCAGTTCAATCTTCACTCTTAATTGCATAGGGGCCTCATTGTTTCTGCTTTAGTCCATTTGACTGTTGAACAAGCCAGGCAAAGGCTTATCCTCTCTCCAGAGCATTTCTGAATCCGGTGAAGCAAATTACATTCTGCAAACGTTTAATATCAAATACGTGAAAATGAGCTCCCTGAGACCCCAGGAGCAGAAATGCACCACTAACTAAACACGCAAATGTGGAAAAGGAGAAGGTTCAGCGATCTCGGCAATGGAGCTCTGGAGGATTTGAACAATATTCACTCCGACGCTCAAAGATTATGAGTATTATCAAAACAGAAGATAAAATGGAAGGAAAGCAGGATGGGTATCAAAGCCGTTGACTCACCACTCCAAGCGTGAAGTAGTTGAAAAAGTAGTCATTGCACTTTGAAGGTACTTGCTTATGAGGAGAAGGCGAATGGATTTTCATCTATAAATAAAGAACGGAAAAATGCCAGAGGCACTTCAGTTTTTTGAAGAGGGAGACAAAGAGATTTTAAATACACAACCATTGCTATCCAACTTCATTTATTTATTTATCGTGTCAGGAGCAACCAGACATTTGTATTACATTTTTAACAAAACAAACAAACAGACAAAACACAAAGTTTGCAAGCTTGGTAGTTGATTAAATGTCCTTTGACCAGTATCTGGCCACTTGGAGTGCCTCTGGTGTTGCTGCAAGGAGGTCCTCCATTGTGCATGTGGCAGGGCTCAGGTTGCATTGCAGCAGGTGGTCAGTGGTTTGCTCCTCCACACTCGCATGTCGAGGATTCCACTTTGTAGCCCCATTTCTTAAGGTTGGCTCTGCATCCGTGCCAGAGCGCAGTCTGTTCAGCGCCTTCCAAGTGTGCCCAGGGGGGAGTCTCTCATTTGGTATCAGCCATTGATTGAGGTTCTGAGTTTGAGCCTGCCACTTTTGGACTCTTGCTTGCTGGGGTGTTCCAGCAAGTGTCTCTGTAGATCTTAGAAAACTATTTCTTGATTTAAGTGATTGACGTGCTGGCTGATACCCAAACAGGGGATGAGCTGGAGATGTCACTGCCTTGGTCCTTTCACTATTGGCTGCTACTTCCTGGCGGATGTCAGGTGGTGCAATACCGGCTAAGCAGTGTAATTTCTCCAGTGGTGTAGGGCGCAGACATCCCGTGATAATGCGGCATGTCTCATTAAGAGCCACATCCACTGTTTTAGTGTGTGAGATGTGTTCCACACTGGGCATGCATACTCAGCAGAGAGTAGCATAGCGCAAGGGCAGATGTCTTCACTGTGTCTGGTTGTGATCCCCAGGTTGTGCCAGTCAGCTTTCGTATGATATTGTTTCTAGCACCCACTTTTTGCTTGATATTCAGGCAGTGCTTCTTGTAAGTCAGAGCACGGTCCAGAGTAACTCCCAGGTATTTGGGTGTGCTGCAATGCTGCAATTCAACTTTATAAAGACACTACTCTGGTTTGAATGGACTGAGGACACTAAGGTAGAAATGAGAAATGTCTCCAGCCCCATTACAGATAATGGACTGAATCCAGCTTTAATCTTGCTTTATGTTGGAACTCAACCACATTCTGCACAAGGTTATAGTCCTCATCAAGGACTTAGATAGGCAGATGAGTTAGGGAGGGAAAGGCCTTCCTCCATTGGCCTCTCTGTCTGCCTCCTGTGAGTATGGAGAGAGACAAGATGTCTGCTGCGAGTTATTTGGATAGACAGGCCCTGTTAACTTTCCTATCTAGTAGGCATGAGCAATCCATGGTTCTAAAGTACTTACAAAACTAGGGAGGGTTGGTGCTTTGCTTCCAAAGTGTTTCTAAAGTTCTGGTGGTGAAAATTTCAGAACTTACAGAACAAGGGGGCGCTGGTGCTTTGCCTCTAAAGTATTTCTAAAGCTGGTGCCTTGCTTCTAAAGTGTTTCTAAAGTTCTGGTGGTGAAAATGTCATTATAAATGGCAGTTCCTAATTGGTTCTGTCATAAAAATTGCCAGTAACGAAATAATAATGAAAGTTTTGTTAGACTTCTGAAATTTACACCACCAGAACTTTAGAAACATTTCGCTTGCATAGATGCAGGCGAAACGTCTGGAGAAAATGTCTCTAGAACATGGTCATATAACCTGGAAAAACCTACAACAACCCACTTTAGAAACACTTTAGAAACAAAGCTTATCCAACATAAACAGGCCGGGAGAATGTTGGATAAGTGAAAATGTTGTATAATAAGGAAGGAGTAAGGAAAAGCCTAAAACGTCAAATTACGTTATGATTACATTATGATTTTACAAATAAAGCACCAAAACATCATGCTTTACAACAAATCGACAGAAAAAGCAGTACACAGTAACGTTATGTAGTAATTACTGTATTAACGAATTTAGCACCAAAACAGACACAGGTTCTTTTTTCTCCCACCTTGGACTGCATTGGATAATGCAGAATGTTGGATAAGTGAAGGTTGGGTAAACGAGACTCTACTGTATTACATTTATTCTTCTACTCTTCTACTCTTTTATTATTATTATTACATATATTATTTTATTCTATTTATTATTGCTATTATTTAATTTATTGGGTTGCTGTGAGTTTTCCGGGCTGTATGGCCAAGTTCCAGAAGCATTCTCTCCTGATGTTCCACATCTATGGCAGGCATCCTCAGAGGTTGTGAGGTCTGTTGCAAACTAGGCAAGTGGGTTTATATATCTCTTGGTTTATATATCTGTGGAATGTCCAGGGTGGGAGAAAGAACTCTTGTCTTGAGGCAAGTGTGAATGTTGCAATTGGCCACCTTGATTATAATTTCATGGCTCCCAACAAAGGATTTCCCCTGCAGCAACCCTTTGTTGGGAGGTGTTAGTTGGCCCTGATGGTTTCCTGTCTGGAATTCCCGTTTACTGAGTGATGTTCTTTATTTTTTTAATAATCTATTGAAAATTTTCCATAAAAAACATTTAAAATCCTTAAGGTGAAATAATAAGCAAAGTGATCTAGTATAAGATGAGAAAGAAGAGGAAAGCAGGGAAGGAGAAAAGAGAAAAGAGAGAAGAAGAAGAGGAGAAGAAATAATGAAATAGATTTTTTGACATCTGGGTATCTTCTTTGAGGCTTTCTCCTTTTCCTTCATTCTCTCTTTCTTCTTGCTTCCCCTTTTTCTCCATCCTGGTATGCTTACTTTTCCTCCTTATATCAATATTTCATTTTTATTTCTTTTTAAATATTCTGTAACTGAGTTCCAATTCGTTTCTTTTTTAGAGTTTTCTTTATTTTTGGAGATCAGAAATGAAAGTTTGTCCATATTTCTTATATCTTGAATTTTTTATCATCCAGTCTTCCTCTTCTTTCCCAATTTTCTGTGGTGTCATATACCACCTATATGCCATCTTTATCCAATTTTCTTTCAAATCTATTGCACAAGTAAATTTTAATTTTTTATTCCATATTTCTTCCCATTCTTCTTTTCTAATATTCCTTCCTATATTTTCTTTCCATCTTTTCATATATTTCTTTTCATTTTCCCTATTTACTGTCCTGTAAACAGGGGAATTCCAGACAGGAAACCATCAGGGTCAGCTAACACCTCCCAACAAAGGATTCCCCCAGGCAGGAAGTAGCCAGGCTTTGAAGCAGCAAGGCCATCCAATGCTAATCAAGGTGGCCAATTGCAACATTCACACTTGCCTCAAGCAGACAAGAGTTCTTTCTCCCACCCTGGACATTCCACAGATATATAAACCTCACTTGCCTAGTTTCCAACAGACCTCACAACCTTTGAGGATGCCTGCCATAGATGTGGGCGAAATGTCAGGAGAGAGTGCTTCTGGAACATGGCCAGACAGCCCGGAAAACTCACAGCAACCCAGTGATTCTGGCTATGAAAGCCTTCAACAACACTCTGAGATATTCAATGAAAAATTATAGCAAAATTTGCTACAGGATGTCCCTTTGCAAAGGCCAAGTTTTTGCAGTTTAATACACTTTTTTCATGTTGTTATGATAGAACCAATTAGGAAATGGCATTTATAACTCCTAAACAAAACTTGTGTTACATAGTGTTATTAGATGCTTTAGTAATCTAATAAGAACAATAATCTGTACTGATGTATGATTTCCTCTGACCTTATCTTCTGACTTGTAGAAAACTTTGTGAGGAGATCCCAAGGTGCTCAGCACATCTTGGCACGAATCACCGAAATACACGCGATCTGACTATTTTTTGCTTACCGAGTCTGATCGTACTACGCGGCCGATCTACATGAAGAGGCGAAACAGAACTAGGTTGTTTCAGTTACCTCCACTCTAGTCGTTCCTGCCAGCAATGCTGTGGCCGTTTGTTTTACACTGAAGTCTTTCGGCTTTGGGTACATAGTATTCTGTTGTTTCTTGTCTCCGTGGACCGCGTGACATTCGTCTTCCCTCCCTCACCCATATTATCTGCGTCTGTCCCCCTATCCCGCGCGAGTCATTTCCGCTCCCACAGCCGTCTTGGCACCTTACAGGACGTCTGCAGTATAGCTGTGTGTGTCTTTGCATATGTCCATGATTTCCCCTTTCGCATCGTGACTCCCATTTTCCCTTTTTAGCTGTCTTCAGCCTGCTTTACTCTTCTGGGCTTC